TTTTCGTGTCGCTGTTTTGTGACTGGTATCCCTACACCTCGAGAGGAAACTCGGTGCTGCAGCCGACTCGCGCATCGCGTCGATCGTCTTTCAAGCCTTTGCGAGGATGTCGCTCCATGCTCCTGCGCGTGCGTTTGTATGCGTAGAGGCCTGCACGATAACAGGTGGGATGCAAAAGTGATCGTACCATATGGCCTGGCGAGATTGCACTTTGGCCCGCTCAACTCATCGTCGCTACGCCTGCCACGTAATTATGCACGCATTTCATATCAGGCGCCGACGTTTCGCGAGATTACGTTACATACGCCGGCTTTTGTCGCGAACGTTCAGCAAATAATGTGGCATTTGGTGGATGCAAAATGTCATTTTCAGATCTTCCATCGCCTTCCCACTACCATCATGATTGCCATCGGTGACTCGCTCCCTGCCGTGACGCTCGGCGAATACAACGCCGTCGAAGGCACGTGCGCCATCGGCCCCAACCAAATCAAGGTCCAGGAAGCTGCGGCCGGCAAGACGATCGTCATCTTCGCCGTGCCCGGTGCGTTCACCCCGACGTGCTCGGCGCAGCACGCCCCCGGCTTTGTCGCGCTCGCCGACGAGTTCAAGGCCGCCGGCGTCGACGAGATCTGGTGCCTCAGCGTCAACGACGCCTTTGTCATGGGTGCGTGGGGCAAGGACCTCGGCACGGCCGGCAAGATCCGCATGATCGCCGACGGCGACGCTGTCTTCACCAAGGCCACGGGCCTCGAGCTCAACATGACGGGCCGCGGCCTCGGCCTCCGCGCCGCGCGCTACTCGATGCTCGTCAAGGACGGCGTCATCAAGGAACTCAACCTCGAAGTCGGCGGCGCGTTCAAGGTCAGCAACGCCGAGACCATCTTGGCGCAGGTCCGCGGCGAGTGAGCCATTTTGTATCAATCGTCATTCATTTTTCTCTTGTATAATTGTGTTTTGCGCGAGGAGGAAGGGTCCTGGGGTGTTGCGTGGCTTGGCGACGAGAGCGACGGCCGAGCAAACGACTATGTCAGTTAGAACCCAGCAGCGTTGCTAGGTCCACGCCATTTTTGCCTTGGTCAACTCGCTTGATGGACCTCGATCACGATACCTTCTCTTCTCCTCGGCGATTCCACCTGCTCGTGTACCAGAACACTACAATATTGTCTTAAAAAACAGCATATATTGTCATCTCGTGCATTTCTAAATATGCGGCACCCACGACATGTCCTTGGTCTTGATCTTCTCAAACACAAACGTCTCCATGCCGTTCATGTCGGTCTCGTCCTTGCTGTTGAGGTACTTGATGAAGAAAAAGTAGTGCCACAAATTGTGCTTGGTCTCGGTATGGCGCGCAAAGCTGTTCATAATACCGGCGTCCATGCCTTGGGCTTCAATCACCGCGCGCGGCCGGTTGCACACAAGGCACTGCGTCCGGCGGAGCATGAGCTTGTTCTCCGACGCTTCGCGCACGGCTGTGAACGCGTCGATAATGATACCTTGGATGAGGTTCAAAATGAGCGTGATCACGACAATGAAGAACGCGAGCTCGTAAAAGACGCGGCCAAAGTACCGGCCCTTGTCGTTGTAGTTCATTGGCACGTCCGAGAGGTAGTCGCCAATACCGCCGCCATTCAAAAGGCCGCTGTGGAGGTACGTCATGACGCAGTGCATGAGCGTCGAGCACTGGTTGGCGTCGTCGCCGCCGTTGGAGAGCTCGGGCTGGAAAAAGTAGTACCCGAGAAGCGCGAAAAAGTAAATGACGACGCCGCCGAACGCGGCCGTGATTGCGAGCTTGCCCATGTTCATGTTCATGGCCTTGACGACAAACTTGAGGCCAAAATGGAGGTTGATGAGGTCGGCGAGCGGGATGCCATAGTACAGATAGTACCGCGTGTGGTCGACAAGGCCGAGGATAGCGCACGCAGTGAAGAGCGCAAAACGCACAACGTTCTCGGAGAAGAGCGTATCGTAGAGCACGTTGTACCAAAAGTAGGCCTTGGGCAGGAGCTGGTCGTCCTTTGTCGTCGACCGGACTTGCTTGTATGTGATCTCTTGGTCGACGCTAAAGCGCATGATCTCGGCGTACTTGCGAAGCCCCGAGAGCGTCGAGAAGAAGAGAAGCAGGAACGCGCCGAGCCCGAGGACTACCGTGTTGAACGCGGTCCAGCCATAGACCCACACGATGAGCGAGTACGTCCACGCAATGAGCTCTAGGATTGTTCAAAATATGAGACAAATACATGGAAAAAACTTTAAAAAAAATTGAAGAATCGAGATCGACAATGTGTGCACGTACCGAAATAAAAGATAGGATCTTCGAACGCTTCCCACTTGCGGTCGTGAATCGTCTTGGGCGATCGAAACTTGAGTTTTGTGATCGAGAGCTGCTGCTTGCAGTAATGAAAGTTGAACGTCCGCATGAGGTAGTAGACAAAGAGGATGGCCGCGAGCGCGCAGTAGACGCTGCCGAGGATCGTCACGTACGGGTACTTGGTCGTCTTGTCGACGCGCAGCATCAACAAGAGCACGAAATTGATGTAGAAGCAGAGCGCGAGGAGCCGCGTCCGGAGCCACATTTGCCACGTGCTCATGAGCGAGTAGAGCGTGAGCCGCTTGAGGTGCTTGACGACCTTGAGCTCCTCTTCCGTGTCGCGTGCTTGCTCAGAGAGAAGGACGTCCATCGCATGCTCGCCGCCAATGTCCATGGCGTCCAACAGATCGTTCTGGAGCTGCTCGTCAAAGTACATGGCGTCGTGCGGCTTGACAAAGTAGACGGTCGAGTGCTTCCCATAGCGCAGAATCTCGACCGAGATGAGCTGCGCGTTGAAGAAGCGCTGGGCCGACTGCGCCTTGTAGGTCGCGACCGCCGTCTCCCACAATGCGCGAAAGCCCTGCACCGACCGCGTGTCAAACGACCGAAGCGCGCGGTTGGCGACAAGCACCGTCTTGATGGCGGTCGCGAGCGTGCTCACGTCCGACTCGGACTCGGACCGCTTGAGCATCCCGAGGACCGCCGTGTTGAGCTTGGCGCGCATGTGCACTTCAAAGGCCATCCGGTCTTCGGCGTCGTCGGCTTCGTCGAGCTCATCCTGGTCGGCGTCAGCGCTGAGTGCGTGCGGCGACGACGCAGTGCCCGAGAGGTCGCCGCTGCCGGACGCTTGTTCGAGGCTCATGATGCGTACGACGAGCCGCGTGAGGTTCATTGCCTTCTTGTACATGGGCGCGCGGTGAATGTCGTGCTTGGCAAAGTCGAGGGGGTAGCCAAACTGCTCGATGAGCGCTCTATGGTACAGCTGGAGGCGCTGGACGACGACGTCGGCGCTAAATGCCTGCGCGATCGTGGCTTGCGTCGACTGGTCGGTCCGGCCTTCCATGAGCGAGAGGAGGAGCTCGGTCGCGGCTTGGTGGATCGTCATGTCGACTGCTTGGTCGTTCATGAGCAACTTGCAACAGAGCGCCGTCGCGTTCGAGTCGACGATCAGTTCTTGGTTGACCTTATTCGGGCCCTGGCACGCTTCCGTGATGGCCGCCATGCACTTGAGCAACGCCGGGTTGTTGAGCGAGACGCTGATGGCCGCGCCCATGACCTCGACGACCGCGAGCAGAATGCGCTTGCCGTCGACCTCGAGCGACACGACGCTCTGCCACATCTCGTGGTGGTTCTCGCACAGCAGCTGCACGATCGAGAGCGCTCGGTTCTGGTAGTGCGTCGTCAGCGCCGGCGAGAGCGAGCTGTTGTCGGCCATGGCAATGTAGCGGAGGAGGAACCGAATGAACAAGTCCTTGCGGTCGACGTCGGCGGTCGCCTTGTCGTTGTCGTCGTCGTAGTCGACCGAGCACACGGCCGCGAGGAGCGCGTTCTGCGCGGGTTCAAACCCGCCCGCGATAAACTCGTGGATGAGGTCGAGCAGCTGCAGCTCGGTGCCTTCGATGCTCAGGTACTTCTTGGCCACGTCGAGGACAGTCTTGGTCGCCTTGGCATCGCGTGTCGTCGGGCGTCGGCGCGGCAGCGTGTGCATGATGAGCTCGGCGACCGACGCTTCGACCGCGAGCTTTTGCGTATGGCGCCACTCTTGGCGGGCGTAAATGAGGAGGCGGCTCGTGTTTTCCTCTTCGAACGAGACCGCCCAGCCCTTGGCCGGCGGCAAGAGCATCGAGTCGTCGGCGACCGAGACCGACCGCAGGCGTGCGTCTTCTTCGTCTTCGCTGTCGTCAATGTCAAAGTCGCGGACCGACTCGGGCACCGGACCCACGTCGGACGGCGCCGACTTGAGCCGCTGGATCTCGCGCTTGAGCAAGTCGGAGGCCGTGAAGCGCTTCTTCTTGAGTAGCTGCATGATGTTCTTGAGCGCGCCAGTCGACACAAACTCGCTGAGCTTGGCGAGCATGGCGTCGTCTTCGCTGAGCCGGCTCGGGCTCGCGACCGACCGCGCGTACGTCCCGTAGCTGACCGGCGGCTGCCCGTACAAGCCACCTGCCATGCCAATTGTCCAAATCTCGAAATGACCAGCCAGCCCATCACCGCGTGTTTTTTTCATTTTCGTAATGCTGTACTATAGAATTGTATGGAAAATAAAAATATGTCATTCTATTTTTTAGCCTATCGCTTGTGGCGAACGTATCGAGAACGCCATGTCCCAATTCACAACATATCCCATGGGCCCTCTCACAATCGCTTAGCTTGCATATCGTCGAGCTCGATGGTCGCAAGTACTCAAAACCCCAGGCGGAAGGAGCGGAAGTGTAGGAATCGAGTGCACGACGGTCGCAATGTGATGATTTTTCATTTTTTCAACATTTTTAAAAACAAAATGGCGCGGTCGCCAGCGCGGGCCAGACGGCTAAAGCGGCTGCTGACCAAGCATGGAGAAGGAAGCGCGACCTCCGTAGGACTCATGGGACGACCAGATAGCACAGAGCTCGAGCATACCGGTACACAGAAGCGGCGGCGGAGCGGTGCCCTTTTGAGCGAATTCCGCACGAACATTTCAGAAGGCGCCGGGATGCACAAGCCGCGTATTCGTGATCCACGTGGGGCTATGTCGATGCGACGCAGCTGCAATAATTGCCTTTGCAATCCTCGACCCGCAGCGCCGCATCATCATCGCGGGTTCCATGATCGGCTCTTTGCAACCTTTGCTTGGCGGCGATGTGATTGGTCGGCGATTGAGCTATCCGGATACATACACTTTTGGTGGACCGAACGGTCGACGACGGTTTCACGTCCACTTGTTTTGGAGCAGTTGTGTAACGCCCGAATGACGTTAGGACGACATGAGTGGCCACTCTACTTGTACGCGATACCCCAACGACCGATGCGCGCCAACCGCGACGAGCTGCTCGTCCCCTGCGACGCTAGATCGCGGCTCAACAAGCGCATGCTCGCTGCTGTCCGGTGGCTTGACGGCACCGGTAAACCTCTTCTATATACCGGTTGCCTCGGCCCTGCCCAGCGAGCCAGCATTCTGGAGATATCCCGCTCGCATCTTTGAACGCTACACGAATCAACGAAGAAACGGTTCGATGTTTAACAAGTTTAACATTCGATGCGCTGCTTAGGCGCGCGCCGTGCAGACAACCTGTCGGTTTTCAATCGCATACGAGTGGCAGTTGTCGTCGTCCTGCAGCTTGGCGGCGAACGGGAGCGACGTGACGCTGCCTTCGCCACAGCCCAGCGGCTCCTTGAGAATGCACGTGGCGTCGGCGCCATCCGCATGGCCAAACGAGTCGCGCTCGATCGACGCGCAAATGTCGCCGAGGTTCTTGCCTTCGGTGAGAAAGCACGAGCGGAGGTTGTCGCGATCACGAATGACCTGCGGCACAAAGTACCCACGGAGCTCGGTGAGGCTACGCTCCTTGTAGCCGGCGAGCGTAAGCGGCTCAATCTCCTGCGGACCGCCCGGGCCGATGCGGCGGTAGCCGTAGAAGCACTCGTCGCAGTCGTACACGTTGTCGTTGCCGATCTTCGTGGCCGTCGCCGCGTACTTGCGGCAGCGAAAGACGTTGATGCTGAGGATCTCGTCCGGCTTGGTCGTGCAGCGCGAGTACGTGTCGTACTGCGGCCCGGCAATGTCCCACGTATTGGACGAGCACGTCGGGAGGTTCTCGAACGCGACCTGCGTGTACTGGAGCGTGTGCTCGTCGTTGGGAAGGATGACCGAGTTGTTGGTGGCAGCGGCAGCCGTCGCGAGAAGCGAGGCGAGGAGAAGCGTCGAAGCGTGCATGTTGGTTGCGGACGTCGAATGGAAAAGTGAGTGTAAGGATGGCGCTTACTCAAGGATACCCCAGCGTGCGTTGGGCCATAGCCGCTTGCTGCTTTGACATTCCACAGAAGTCGGGTCTGGGACAGCAATGGCTGTCACACCCAAATAGGGCTAAGTTCCAACTCGAATGTTTCGCATGCTTTGGTAGTAGACAACTCGTTTTCCCATGAGCGGTCGATAGAAGCTGGAGAACTTGTGCATAAAACACTGAAAAATCTCATGAAAAGCATTTCCATAGCTTGCACTCCAGCGCTCGCTGTCCGCGACATGTTGTGACTGACGCTGTTGTGAACGCACCAAATCGACGAGGCGTGTTGCAGCCCAGGTAGCACGCTGCGATATGAGAGAAGAGCACGCGCTTGCGTGTGTGACAAGCTGACCAAGCACCACCACGACGGCGACAGGACAGGACCCGTATGTTGGCATGTATGCGCGGAATGAGATTCCCTGATGTCGTAATGATCTTGCTCACGTTATGTCTCGATCCAACGACACGGATGCGATCACTCAACACTATTGTCATATGAAATGGGCATATATTGTGTTGCCGAGTTGCTCTCCTTAAATGCTGGAGAGATAGTTGTCGAGAACGAGTTCTTGCGCCGCGGTGAGCTGGCCTCGTTTTTGAAGCGTCGCTAGCGTCTTCTGGAACTTGGGTGTGGCGCGCCGTGTCGATGCAAGCGCCTCGGCAGCGTCAAAGCGTCGCGAGCCGATCGTCAGCAAGAGCAAGTAAGCGGCGGCCTCGTCGTAGTAGTTAACATAGTCGGGTTGCAGCGCCATGTTGAGGTAGGCGTATTGCAGTACGCGTGGCAGCGGCGTCGCACGCAGGGACCACAAGGCGGCCGGCAGCCCGCGTGAGTCTCTGGGTTCCTTCACAAGTGGCGTCACGTCGATCATCATGAGGAGAATGTTGTCGATGGCGTCGGCCGGCAGACGCATTGACAAGGCGACGTGCGTACTCGGTGCCACGGCGTTCTCGTAGAGCCATGCAACAAGAGATATCCCGTCCGTAGGCATTCCATTCCAACGCAACTGGGCGGTCCACCAGCGAGACGCCAAATCGTACAAGTCGCGCTCACACGACGGGTTGTCAGCACCGATGCCTTCGAGAACCTTGCGCCAAAACACGCCAGATGTAGAGTAGTGCAGGCGGCTCAAGGCTTCCGTCATGGACGGCAAGCCAAAGCGGCGGACGACCGCGACCACCCACGGTACGATAGCGACATCGTGCGCGTTCCATCGCATGCCACCCAGATAGTCTGCCATGAGCGTGCAGTCGCCATAGTCAAACAGCACATTGGCCATGGCCAGACGACTCGGGCGATTGAACTGAGCCGGGCCAGGCTCGGCCCCAATGAAGAGGCGCACAGCAGCTTCAAAGAGCGCATGGGTAGACCCGAACCCAAAGTCGTCCGAGCACAACCCGTCGACGTGATCTCGCAGCAAAGCGACGGTACGGACTAGACCGAGCAGCTTCAAGCGAAGCGCTTTGGGCCAAAAGACGAGGCAGACTGTGTCGTTGCCTAAAATGTCGATCGAGTCTTCTTCGATAAAGCACGAGATCGAGAGAGAGCGCCACGCGGCTTGGAGGCGCGCTGGCGTCGCGCACTGCGGGTGGAAGATGTTGGGTAGCTTCTGCTCGGCCTTGTCGCGGTCATCGTTGTTTCTCCATCGATCCATGGCTGTCGCCACCGTGACGAAGGCCACGTCAAAGACACTTGCCGCAAGAAGCCAGTCGACGACCGCCTTGTCACGACCTGTTAGCGTCGCATACTGTGGCGCGGTGGTCCACGTTTCAAGCTCGACGTGAATGATGCAGTAATTTTCCATCTCGATCGCGTCGTCAATGTCGGCCTTGGATGGCAGCTGTGGTGGCGTAGAGCAATAACTGTAGTCGCTGTCATAGTCCTCGTGGCTCACATTGTGCACAAAGACGCCGCGGGTGCCTGATGTGATCGGTGCGACCGAGACGTGGCACGTGTTGAAGAAGACCACCGAGTGCCCGCTGAGAGTCTCGTACGTCGTCGTCCGGTCGTCGTACGTGATGGTGACGGCACCGCCAGTGCAGTCGGACGGCATAAAGTAGAGCAGCGTCGCAAACGTTCCCGGTGCTGAAGCAGACCTCGGCACTAGCGCCGAAGCCGACCCGACGGCATCGATCGCGAAATGTGCAAAGTCGTAAACGTAGCGCGCGCCGAGCTTTAGTCCACGGAGAATAGTATCGTATTCGAAAGACCATTGGTCGAGGTAGAAGCTGGTCGAGATGGCCGACGGCGGGAGCAGGAGCGTCGTCTTCTCGGGGCTTGTCTCCATCAACGACGCCGCCAGTGCCGGTGCGATCGGCCAGTCGACGTCGACGCCATGGATGGCCATGCGCTCCGAGCCACCGTACATATCTTCGTTCTCTTCGTCGTAGCAGTGAGGTACCATGACAGCCTCCACGAGACTGCTGAGATTGCCAGTCGTGTCGGACATGGACGAGAATTCAAACTGCACAGTGTCATGTTGGCACACTAAGCATCGTTTCACACTCTGTATGTAACGCTGCTGGCTGTATAAAACAGTGAATCAAACACGGAATGGCTCTACTAACCCGAAGCGGCCGCCGCCCGCGCCGTGTTTTTGACCAAGATGCACCTTCACCACTTGATGCTGAATACCCAAGCGATGTGCCTCTTCCAAATGATGCACGCCCTGCGCCACGATGCCTGGCTTCGTGACCACTTCGTCCCGGCGTGCGCCATCCACACGCCTCGCCTTCAACATGGCTAAGCCTCGCCGCTGATGCCGTCTAGCACAACACGCTCTAAATCGAAAGTCCACCCCCCAAAAACAGTTCAGTGTAAATTATATCTAAATAGACTCACTTCAACAACAACAACGGAATGGCTCTACACACGGCTCTACATGTGTGTACCGGCTCCATGTTGTGAGCGATGGTGCATGTATAGAGTGCTGGTCTTCTAAAGAGGTCGGAACGTGAGCGCAATGTCCCTCTCCCCGACTGACAGCGGCGCCGCTTTGCTGCGACCCGCGCCAAGCTCGACTCGGTGGAAGGAGTCGGTAGTGCAAACATCCGGCTGGTGGAAGTCGACTCCTGCGGAAAAAACAACGGGCGTACAGTGATCCTCCAAGGCTGTAGGTGGCTCGCGGGATACAAGGCGTGGCTCACGAAAACGGTGGCTCACTGCGACCTTCCCCACGGTACTGAGCGCTCCGACCGAAAACAGGCATCGTCGTGTCTAGGCTTGGCATGGGTCGCCTTTTTCTACTGATGTTTGACGTGAGGTTCTCTTGACATACGGCTACATCCTCCTCACCTTGAACGACGTCATGTCAGCGACCGTCGATTTCGCAACTAGAGTGCGAGTTGAAACAGAATAAGATATGATATTCATGGCCAGTTACTTGCGCGTCTTGCACGCGATCTTGTTGTTGACGATCGCGTACTCGTGGCAGTTGTCGTCATCCTTGAGCTTACCGTCGAACGGCAGCGACTTGCGAATGTGGCCCGACGGCGTCTTGATCTCGTGCTTGAGAATGCACGTGGCGTCGGCGCCATCGGCATGGCCGAACGACTGGCGGTGGATCGACTCGCAAAGGTCGCCGAGGTTCTTGCCTTCGGTGAGAAAGCACGAGCGGAGGTAGTTGCGGTCGCCGATGCGCTGCGGCACAAAGTACCCGCGGAGCTCCGTGAGGTTGTGCGCCTTGTAGCTGTCGAGTGTGAGCGGCTCAATCTCCTGCGGGCCACCCGCGCCGATGCGGCGATAGCCATAGAAGCACTCGTCGCAGTTGTACACGTTGTCGCTGCCCTTGATGATCTGGCCGTTGGCGTCGCGGCCCTTGGGCGTCTTCTTGGCCGTCGCCGCGTACTTGCGGCAGCGAAAGACGTTGATGCCGAGGATCACGTCCGGCTTGGTCGTGCAGCGCGAGTACGTGTCGTACTGCGGCCCGGCAATGTCCCACGTGTTGGACGCGCACGTCGGGAGGTTCTCGAACGCGACCTGCGTGTACTGGAGCGTGTGCTCGTCGTTGGGAAGGATGACCGAGTTGTTGGTGGCAGCGGCGGCCGTCGCGAGAAGCGAGGCGAGGAGAAGCGTCGAAGCGTGCATGTTGGTTGCGGACGTCGAATGGAAAAGTGAGATGTGAAGCCAAGGTGCATCGATTCAGTGTCGATGCCTGTATCGCTGCTTGCTGCTTTGACATTCAAAGGAAGGCGCGCTGCGACAAGGGACGCATTGCCTCGTTCGATGGAACTGTAGTCGCCCGGAGTCATCACCAGTGATCGTGTCCGTACGTTATGCAAAAACAGTTGGGGACTGGACGTTTCATTTGGCACAGTCGAATTGTTGACAAATTGCTGAAAAACTGGGACAGGTCAGACGATCTAAAATCTTGCATTTGCTGCTCGAGGGGCTTTCGTCGTTAGACGCTCATACATGCAACCATTCATGTAACAGAGCTCTCTCAGCCCGAATGGCACACTAATCGACACTTAACTCGTCAAGTTTACGCATACACTAGTCACACTCTAGCAAAAGCAAGCACTAGTATATTGGTTGAATATCCAGTGTCTTGACGATAACTCACACCAAGGTGTCTACAAATATATTCAATCCAACTGCTCCATTTGTTTGCTTCGAATCTCCGGGTACCAG